TTACGATTAGAAAAAGAGCAAAGACGAAAATTAAATTTTTTTAACGGTTTTTATGATTAAACAAAGAGCAAAGACCACAATTGTTTCATTTTTGACTGTATTACTGATTAGAAAAAAGAGCAAAGACGACATTTATTCATTCTTGCTTTCCCTGTAGATATTGCTGACTTCTTCAACCGACCACTGGAACCAGAATGGGATAGATATAGAGATCTTGTCAGAAACAATCGGATACATTGGCGCAGAATCTAACAATATTTAGGTAATTATATAACTTTATATCCCTGGATAACATTCTCATCAGCCTCTAATTTCGATACAAATAAGACATTTTATAATCCACACAGGCCACATAATTAAGAACCATAGAAAATTAAAATTTCATACGAAAAGAAAAGCTGCATTGACGCTTGACTTTAAAAATAAAGCTCCAGAACTAATATGCTAGTTTAGACAATTATTAACAGAACTAATATTCTAGTTAAGACAATTATAAACGGAACTAATATTCTAGTTTAGACAATTATAAGAACTAATATTCTAGTATAGACAATTATAAACAGCACTAATATTCTATTATAGACAATTATAAACAGAACTAATATTCTAGTTTAGACACTCATAAACAGTACTAATATGCTAGTTTAGACAATTATAAACAGAACTAATAGTCTAGTTTAGACAATTATAAGCAGAACTAATATTCTAGTATAGACAATTATAATCAGAACTAATATGATAGTTTAGACAATTATAAACAGAACTAATATTCTAGTATAGACAATTATAAACAACCAGAAAAAAGGATTTTGTAAAGAACTGCTAACTCACGAAATAACTCTGATTTTATAACCCATTTATCTTTGCACAGTTCAAATGTCTACAACATTGGACTGCAAAGATATAGGAATTAGAAAATCAGAGTTTGTGACAAAGACTCAATTCCTTTGAAACCTCTAATATTTTTTAGAATTTGACGGTGCTCTGGTCGATCCCTGTAATGTATGATGTATCTACATTAAACAAAATACTCTAGTCTTAAATATTGTTATGTTTTTAAATTTTTAATTTAATAATTGTTTTAGTTTTATTTTGCAAATTTGTGATTTTTAATTTTTAATTTGTTTTAGATTACAAAGTGTAAAATAAAAAAATTCAATTTTGTTACCGTAATATTTTCTTATGCAGTTTTGTTGACATACCCACATTGAACAATATAAAAAAATATAACATGCTGGTTGTTAGTCATGACACGATATAAATGGGATAAATTAATTCTTTATGATTCTAAAAAAACCTACACAAATTCACTATAATTTACAAATAAAAAGATGTATTTTCTTGATAAAATATAAATTTTACATAACAAAATATATATTGTCAAAAATTGCATTAATCAGATCTGTTAGTTGTAACATGAATCAAAATCACAAAGTGAAATTTTACAGTTTAAAGACTGTACATGACAAGTTTTCAAATTTTACAGTTTAAAGACTGTACACGACATGTTTTCAAATTTTACAGTTTAAAGACTGTACATGACATGTTTTCAAATTTTACAGTTTAAAGACTGTACATGACATGTTTTCAAATTTTACAGTTTAAAGACTGTACATGACATGTTTTCAAATTTCCCCTTTAAATTGCCCAATGCCCAAGTCACAATAATAGTTCCCTATAAACCTTTGGATAAGCAAAAATCGGTGTTTCTTTGTTTCTCTAAAATTTGATTGTTTTAAAATGTGGTTCTCAAAATAAAAGATTTGCGGATTTGTACAATTTAGGAAGAATATTTATGAAAAAATCGTCGATAACTTGTTATTCCATTAAAGGGCTGAAATGTGACGTGTGTATGACGTGTACATGACGTGTACATGATATGTACTTGACGTGTACATGACGTGTGAATGACGTGTGAATGAATTGTACATGGCGTGTGAATTAATTACACTTCTAACCACGTCTACAGTCCCTTTAAGTAACAATGCAATTTTTTTACTAAAAATAATAAAAGAGTCATCTATAAATCTAAAGGAAAATGTTTCAATTGTTTAATGAATATTTTCGTGCCAAGTTAGAGATAAAAATAATATCAAAATCTAGATTAATAAAATCAAATGGTAACCTGGAAATGTTAATAAAAAACGAGCATTACATAATTTTTTGTTTAAAAAACTACATTCAAATTCAAAATAGGAAAACTGACTCTTATTAATATATTTTTTTTACATAAGTTTATTGTTTAAAGAGCACCGGAGGTTCAAGTTTTTGATTTAAGGATTGGAGAGAATTAGACTTGAAAACATACAAGGTTATCCACAAAGAATGAGAATTGAACGACGATTAAAAACTCTATGACGGTCACAATGTTGAATTAAATCTTTAGACTGAAATATAGTCTATTTAGTCTATTTACTTGGGCAATGAAGGAAAGAAGTTTACTGTTGTTTCAAGAATTTTAAATATTAAGAAAAAGCTCGTGTAAATTTTAGACAGTCGTCTCTGAAGTCTCATCCTTTGTGGATAATCCTGAAATAAAAGTCTAAAATCAAATCTTACAATCATATTCAGCAGAAGACAAGTTAAGAAAAATCATGATCAACTTTTTTTTTCTTAACTATTTTGGGNAAACTAAAGTAAATTAAAAATACATTTCAAGTCAAACTAAAGTAAATTAAAAATACATTTCAAGTCAAACTAAAGTAAATTAAAAATACATTTCAAGTCAAACTAAAGTAAATTAAAAATACATTTCAAGTCAAACTAAAGTAAATTAAAAATACATTTCAAGTCAAACTAAAGTAAATTAAAAATACATTTCAAGTCAAACTAAAGTAAATTAAAAATACATTTCAAGTCAAACTAAAGTAAATTAAAAATACATTTCAAGTCAAACTAAAGTAAATTAAAAATACATTTCAAGTCAAACTAAAGTAAATTAAAAATACATTTCAAGTCAAACTAAAGTAAATTAAAAATACATTTCAAGTCAAACTAAAGTAAATTAAAAATACATTTCACGTCAAACTAAAGTAAATTAAAAATACATTTCACGTCAAACTAAAGTAAATTAAAATACATTTCACGTCAAACTATAGTAAATTATAATACATTTCACGTTAAACTAAAGTAAATTTCAATAAGTTTAAAATCTTATATGTTTTCAATCATATTTCAAACTCCTTTTATTAAACATCTTTAGAAAAGAAGAACAATGTTCAGGATTTCTTTTAGACTCAAGAAATGATTTTAATCAGACCAATGCACATGAGACACAGCAGTTATGAAATGTAAACATACACTTAATTACACTCTAAGAAAATTCAAATTTTCATCTTATCAAACTTCTTGGGTCACCAACATCAAATTCACCTTAGTAGAATCATTCAAAAAAATTTTAAGAATGATTCTGCCAAGGTGAATTTTATGCCAGTGCTCAAACAAATTAGGTTAGATGAAATTTGAAATTTCGAGGGAGTGACAGCAATTAAAAAAGTGCCAAAATTGGGAAGTTTCCCGAATTTCTATTTTCTTCAAAAGTAAAATTGCTGTACATGGGGTCATGTTTTTAACTAAAATTCATGTATTTGTGGCCTGCTCTTGGTAGAAATAAACCAAACTCAAAAAAAACAAGAATAAAAGTAATTTTCAGAAAATTGATCTAACATAGTTCAAAAACCTAATTTTGATTATGCAGAAAGTGGTTGAATCTATCAATCTATCATAAAGGAAATAAAACTTCTCGCAAAAAATAATTTACTGTTTTGAACAGTATTTTTCCAGTTTTTTACTTAGGAATGCATATTCGATATTACTTGCTCGTCTTCAAATCCTCATGTTTAGTAGGAACACTGTACCTGCTTGTGACCCAATAAGCTATAAAGACATCAATGGAGTAATGTCCGCGTCCAAGCAAAAGGAAGACGACTCCCGTCACGAGTGCGCAGAGTGCAATGCCGTGAAATATTATCCAATTTCTAGGCGAGTCTAAAAGCATAGAGTTGTTATTTAGACATCAAAAGTCAAGTTTTTTTTCTCATCCTTTTCGATACTTTCCCGCCAAAAGTTCAGATATATATCCCCGAAAAAATATCTCTTACTTCTGGAATTACGAAATGGCTTTCAAAGAGGGGGGGGGATTCTAGAAAATATACACCCCTGAAGTGTATGCAAACACTATGCATCTCATCAAACTCTGATTTTCGAATTCTTACAATCTGGTGCCTAAGAATTTCAAATAACTCTGAATTCTGTCAGATAATCAATATCAAAGTTGTGCAGTGTGAGGAGGAGTAGATATGCATGCTTAGTTTCTTTCTTATTATATTCAATCAGAACTCCTTCTTTTGAAGAGCTTTTAAGAAGTACAACAAATTTTAAGATTTCTACCACAGTGGTCCGCTACGGGCATTTATATCAATACAATGAAAACGACTTTTCTCTCTAAGTTTTGATTTAGAACTTTTTCAAATCAAAATTATAAGAAATCAAAGAGAAGCTTCTCTTTGTTTCCATGTTTATGCTTTTTGAAACCAAAATTTAAATCAAAAGTCGTCTTCTTGTATGGATATATAAGACAATTATGCAACCGATTATGCAAAAATAGAGGAGCTCCGCGGTCGAAAAATCTATTATTGTTTAATATAAAATGTTAAAAAGAAAAAAAGAAAGAATAATTACATTCTCTGATGACGAAGAACGCTAAAAGCATCGCCATTGTGTGCCCGGAGAATATAAAGTCACCACAGTAAACCTATATTTAAAAACAGAATTATTGAATAATAATTTTAAAAACATATTTTGAAATTATTGTTTAATGTCGAATGACAACTTTTACTTTACCAAATGTCCCTCTGTTGGAGGAATCTTTAAGCAGGGGCTATAATAATAATAATAATAATAATAATAAAAATAATAATAATAATAATAATAACAATAACAATCATATTAACCTATAAATGTAATTGAATGATTGAGTTTAGGTGAGCAGTAATATGTTGTATCAGGTTTAGGCAGTACAGTTATGTACATTGTTATTCCCCTAAACAAGACAATGTACACTTTAAAGGGACTGTACGCGTATATTCAAGTGAACCTCTATGCAAGGATGACAATACCTGATTCACAACGGCTGGTGGTACATTCTGATCAATATTGTCGTTTTTTAAAAGGTTTTTTCTGAAGTAGAAATGCGCAAGTCCCTTTTGAAGAGAGAGCACAAACAATCAGTTTTCAAAACTGTAAAAAATTGATTCTATATTCTTGATCAGATTTAAGGGTAACGTTGTAAATCGAGCATTGCAATCTTTTTGCATGGAGGGTTGCATGAAATTACACCTAAAGCCCCTTGATATATAAAAGTTTACTTTACTTGAAAACTGGAATGTTTAAAGGACAAAACTCAACAGCTTAACAGCTTTACAGGCTGGCAAAGCAAATAATAATTTTTTTTGGAGATTCTGAAAGTAATTTTAGAGAATCTAAATTTTTTTCTAAATTTCCACAAATTCCCAGTCATTTAAGTAATTTTCTTAGCTTTTAAGGCATTCAATAAGTTTTTAAAATCAGAAAAATGAACCATCATCAGGTTCTGGCAAGAATTTAGGGAATCTGCGAAATTCCCAAAATTGCCCAACATTTGGGGAATTCCCCAAATTCCTTAGATAATCTGAGGGTGGCATATTTTTCATCTATGGGACATTTCTGAAAAGCCCTAGTTATTTGGGAATTTTCCCAAATTCCTAGACATTTGGGAATTTTTTTGCAAATTCCCGGATATTTTCACAAATACATATTTTGTCGGGTCATCATGCCCCGGGCATCTCCTACCTGTAGAAATAAAGCATTCCAACCATTAGAAATATCCTTCGAAAAACAATCATCCTGCAATTACAAATAATTTAAATAAATAAATAATATTTTTTCCCTCGCATGTACTCGTCACTAGGGCTGGTTCCGGTCAAATTTTTATTTAACCGTTCGTTAGCGGTTATGTTAAAATAATTTCAAAAAGAGACTTTAATTATTTAGCTAAAACGGTATTTTCCGTTGTTTTTAAAACCGATTATTTAATGTAAGAATAATTGGAAACTTTAAAGGCAACATTGAAAATAGCAAAACTCGTAACAAATGTCAAATACAAAAGTTGCCGTTTTGTTAAAACAAATCCGTTCGTTTGTTTTTATTAACCGTTATTTGTGTTCAATAACGGCTAAATTCCTTTAGATTTTAAAATTATCGGGTTTTGAGGTTTGTTGACAGAACGTTGTAAACACACTTGTAAAAAATAATGTTTTACGTTGATGTCGAAATTAATAAATATATCGATCTAATCTTTATCTATATTCAATATGTTTATACCTGTGTTTGTGAATAAGAACAAGTGTAAAGGCAGTAAGCGTCATCACAATAATAATATATTCAGTGCCAGCTAAACCCCACTCCTGATCAATCAATCAATTAATCAAATAACCCAGAAAATACATCAAAATCAATCAAATAATCAAATAAAATACATCAAAATCAATCAATTAACTAATCATTCGATCAATCACTCGATCAATCAATAAACCAAACAATCAATTACTCCTTTAAATTGATTAACTAATCAAATAATCAATCGATCAATTGATCAATTATTCCTATCAATACCTATTAACGCACTGATTACTCGTTTGAAATTTGTAAATTAATGAAAACAATTTTAACAAATTTGATGAAAAAACATTGCTTACTCGACTCAAACTCTGATTTACTGATCTTATCTCTGCAAGCTTATGTTGTAAATTTTTGACATTTAAAGGTAATAATATCAATATATGTCAGGATTTATTATGAAGACAATATAAAAAGTCTACGACCTCAGGTTGCAAAAATTAGAGAACTTGCTTAAGCAAATCTTTCTAATTAATGGTAAAACAAGAAGAAAAAAATGATTTATTGTTACAGTTTATTTCTTCATGTTTATTAAATATTTCATCATTTCTGAGAATTCTGCTTAATCGAATAGTCAAAATTTGAAATATCACTGACTAACGTCATCAAAAATTGCAAAGATATATACAGTGATAACCAGATGTAGAATAGGAAGACGACATTAAATCAATACAAGTGTATTTTATGCTGTAACAATACAAGTAGATTTATTACAGTGGTAGGCGGTTAAATCAATTCAATGAAGACGACTGTTATATTTTGATTGTTTACAAGCATTTTTCAAATAATAAGTTTACACGTAATTAAAGATAAGCTTTTTGATCGACAGCTTTTCTTTGTTTTCATGTTTATGTTCCATGCATCAAAATTGAAATCGGAAGTCGTCTTCATTGTCTTGATATGTGCGACGACGACTGTATAGTATACATCAATTCACTTTTTCGGTGAATTATAGGTCTGTTTACACTGCACAATTGCCGTGTCTCGTGTTTTCATTGGACTATTTAAAGTCATAACTTGAATCTAAAAGTCGGATTCCCATTCTTCCCTTTAAACTGGTGTATTTACCTGGAATAAATGTTAGCTCTGGGATAATAACATTATCAGGTTTCACCACGCCGTTGATATCTCCAGGTTCCTCTCCAACCTGCAGAACAGTCTTGTTAATCGTTCAAATTGTTGAAAGCAAAATTTAATAAAACTTACAAGATTTAGAAACTGTGTTTTGCTATTATAATTAAACTTTGCAATATCTGTATTCTAAAAATAGGAAAAATGACAACATGTTCGTTTCTGCTTCGTTTTTAGATCGTTTTTGAGAAAATTTTTAAAAAATGTTTGATTTTCTTACTCAACTGAAAATGTTGACCCTGAAAGCAAATATCGGGAAAAATGACCCAAAAACGAAGAAACTTAAAACACATCACTACCTGGAGAACAGTGTCAGGCTGGTCAACGGACCTGGTGGCCAGGGGAGGAGAAGGGTACGGCAGGTGAATGATTGCATCATGTGAAGACGTATTTATGACTCCTGAAGGACCTGCAGTTAGGGATGGGCATCAGTTTTGTTTTGATTTTTTAGAAAAATCGTATTCCGTTGTGAAAATTCGTTTATAAACAGTTTCGAATTTAGTTTTTAAAATATGTTTTACCGGAAGTTGCCCATCCTTACCTTGAGTTAAACCGGATGCTGTGGTGGACGGATGCGAAAGATCTGAGAGAGTTTGATAAGTCTAAAAGATCATACATTAAAATGACATATTTGTAATTTTTATGAAAATTAAGCGAGTGATTTTTTTTATAAAATGAAATCACTACACCAATTTGATTCAAATAACATCATTTTAAAATTTTTAAGATTTTTTTTATCTTGCACAAGATTGTTGCATTACCAACTGAATGGTTGATAATGCAATGAATTAAAAAACGTAATAATTTTCTTTCTTTAAAAGAACATGAAAAACCTTTTTTTTAACCCTCCTAAATATGTTGGTTTAAGTCAGTATTGACCAGTACCCCAAAAGATAAATATGATTGCTGGTTGTTTTAAAGGTTTCCACTATAAGATCTCGTTTGAGAAACATCAAATAGACATGAAAGCAGTATTGATTTATCAATTAATAAAGAATGGTTTATACTCTAACCCTTTTTATTTAGAGGGAACACTTTTATTTAGCCTTTTAGGAAAATAATGTATGCGCAGGGCCATTATCTCCAGATTCCTACCAGTGATTTAGTCCGTGGTTCTCTTATCTCCAGGTTCCTACCTGTGATTGAGTCCATGGTTCTCTTGGCTCCAGGTTCCTACCTGTGATTGAGTCCGTGTTTCTCTTATCTCCAGGTTCCTACCTGTGATTGAGTCCATGGTTCTCTTGGCTCCAGGTTCCCATGTAGAAGAGGAGTTCCAGGTTCAGGGTCAACCTCTTCACACTGATTACAAATATATTAGTTCCAGGTTCAGGGTCAACCTCTTCACGCTGATTACAAATATATTACAATCTTGACATTTCTGATAATTAATTTTATATTTTAACAATAAGCTAAGGCGGGATGCAAATGATGAAAATTAGCAAAATGTTGAGACGTTCGGCCAAACCATTAATACTTCAGGACAGATTCTTATCTTAGCGAATTTTCACAAAAATTGTGTTTTTAGTATTCATAATTTATTAGACAGCTTGAAAAACAGATCAATAGATAAATGTAAAAGAGATTGACAGTCAGATTTAAGTACAGATTAATTGAAAGAATAATGGACAGATCAATGGGCAGGTTAATGGACAGATTAATAGACAGACTAATAGATAGATTAATAGACAGACTAATAGACAGGTTGATGGACAGATAACTGGACAGATTAATAAACAAATTTTTAGACAGATAATGGAGACAGATTATAGATAGACAGATTAATTTACGGATTATAAACAGACTAATGAACAGATTAATAGACAGAATAATGGACAAATTAATAGACAGATTAATGAACAGATCAATGGACAGATTAATGCACATATTAACAGACAGATTAATAAACGGATTAATAGACAGATTAATGTACAGATTTATAGACAGATTACTCGACAGATTACTAGACAGATAAATAGACAGATTAATGGACATATTAATGGACAGATTAATAGACAGATTGCTAGACAGATTAATAAACAGATTAATAAACATATTAATAGAAAGATTACTAGACAGATTGCTAGACAGATTAATAGACAGATTAATAAACAGATTTATTGACATATTAATGGACAGATCAAATTGAAAGGTTAATGAACAGATTAATAGACACATCAATGGACAGATTAATAGACAGATTAATAGACAGATAAGTAGATAGACTGAAAGACCGAATAATAGAAATAGTGAAAGAACTAACCTGATCTTCTATCTTTAATCTAGTAACACCATCTGTGTGAAATCTACAGATTGAAACATTCTATAATCACCCCCCCCCCCCCTCTCCTATAAACATTTATTATTTAGCTTAAATGAACTAAAAGAATAATTTCTAGCCACCCTCCATCCAAAGATGACAATACCTGATTCCTAATGGTACCCGGAAACCTTTTTCTGATCAATAATGTGGAATTTTTTTTTTCAGGTTTAAAAGTGTTCAGTTCTGATAATTTCGATAAGATTTGTTTGTAGTAGAAATGCGCAAGTAATTTTTATAGAGAACCACAATTAAAATAATTATTTTTTAAAATTATAAACTTTGATATCTAATTCATACTTGATCAGACAAAGCTTGAAATGTTCAAATTGTGAATTGGGCATTATACCATCTTTGCATGAAATTAAGCTTACAGTCCCTTTAAAACATTTTTTAATGAATGTTGAAAAAAGAATGTTTTCCTAACAGATCCATAGTTTCTTCTCTTAAAACCTGAGAACCCAAAATTCAAATTATAAAACTAAAAATATTCATGTATGCAGAAAAAAAATCAAAGGCAATTGATAAAATTAAAAATATTTTATATTACTTTAGGAAATTTGGATAGTTCAGGAGTCGGCTCTCCTCTACCGTGGTCTGCGTATATATCAATACAAATAGTTCCCTGAAATGATGATATAATACAGAGGCTGACATATATTTCAATACAGTGTCCGATACTGAAACACTACAGGGTCAAACACAAAGGATGAGACTATAAAGACGATTTTAAACTTTAAAGATATGAGAAACCCAAAGATAAATGAAGTCTCCTGGTTGGGATAAAGTCATGAAATAGCTGATAAAATTATTTGGCAAAGAAAGACACAATCTCACAGTTGCAGGGCATCATGAATATGAGGAAACATACAGTTTAACTTTCGAACAGTCGTCTCTGAAGTCTCATCCTTTGTGGGTAACCCTGTATATAATAAAGACTGGTCTAGGTGAATTAACAATGTACTATATCACCATTTCAATGTATAACTGACACTGTATTGATATATATGCTGATCACTGTACAATATTTGTTGCTTAATGAAATACCCTGTTTTATAGTTTAAATCCCTGAAGAAGTTTGTGAGTCTGCTCCGGAAGTACTTGATTGTCTTGACAATGATCTTGGTGTTCCAACTCCACTTGAAGGACGGGTATCAATGTCGTCCTCTGTGTGGCGGGATACGCGACGGGACGGTTCAGCTCTTCCCGACATCCTACTACTAGGTCTAGAGACTATTCTAACATTGTCAGGTTCAGGTTCAGAGGATAGAGTTGTTGGCAAACCTGAATCTGCAGAGGAGATATTGATCGAAGTGATCAATTCTGCTGAACTAGATGATCCCTTGGGATTGCTTGGAGATGAACTAGATGATCCCCCTGGATTGCCTGGAGATGAACTAGATGATCCCTCTGGATTGCCTGCAGGTTGTACTGACAATAAGTCAGGATCAGTCAACGCCTGGACTTCCATATTCCATTAGAAGTTACCCTGCAAATAAAGAAGGTTAAAGAAAAAACCAAATGCTAAGGGGTTTTTATACAGTTTTCTTTTTCTTTAAACTATTTATTTTCAAAATCATTGGGGTCGCTGATGGGCATGGATGCCAAATTTTTCTGATAAATAATTCTCAATTTTGAAAAAAAATTCCTCTCCACAATTTTCATTTGAATATTGTAGTTTAGTTTTTGGGTTCTTAATTGAATTTGGATAAAATCGATAGAAAAAATTTGCTATTTTCATTCTTATGATGTAAAAACATGGGTTATATTCTATTCCGAAAAATGTAAATATGAAAAAAAAACTCACCAAAGACACGCATAAAAAACCAGTTACTCGATCTCTAGGTTCATCTAAACTATCTGAAATAGTTACACAATAGAGAGAAATGTAACCTTTATGTTAGCTTCGAAAATAATTACCAATTCATTTACTATAAAGGAAACTAATTATTCTCATCAAGCTCCAAAAGTTCGAGTCTTAAATCTTTGAAACCTTTTAGACCTTTGATATTTTAAACTGTGAATTCTGGTTAGATCAGAAAGTTAAAGTTTAAATATCAAAGGATTAGATAGTACAGTTCATTTGTTGTAACTTGTAATACACACCTTTAACGTGAAAGTTTCTAAGCAAAGAAATTAAGTTTTTGCCAAAAACTGAAATTTTTAATCCATATCTCAGTATATTCTGATTGTGTAAAAAATCAGAGTTTGGGAAAAAACACTCAATGCCTTTGTAAAAAAAGCGTGCAATGCTAATACTTTTTTTTGATTTTCAACCTCAAAAAGGAATTAAGCCACCAACTCAGACTAAAACCTATATATGTCGTAGACCTCTTTTTTATACTATGATCAAATGTGAGATCAAATAATCTAAGTTTTAAATATCAAAGGTTTGAACCATCAGGTTGCAAACAAATAAGGATAAAATAGTTTAAGTTTGTGACAAAGACTGAATTTCTATTGTTTTATTTTTATAAAAATGTTAAGAATAAATTTAAGATTGTAATTGAATCAGTGTTTTCTGCGACATTCCTTCATGATCACCTGAATTTCACGTTCAATTTCGAACTTAAATCTAAAGTTTAAAAAATAATTGGACTAATAAAAGATGAAGGATTAAATAGCATTTTCTATGAGAGTATCACTGCAAACCAAGATGTGCATGCTCTCCTCATGCACAAATTGAGCAGTATTTTGTCATATACTCCATTTAAGCTTAAGGTAACATCAAGCGGTTTGTATTTTTAAAATGTATATGTCCAGGGCTACAAAAAAGTATGAATGAATTGGTGAGGCAAAACCAAAGGCCAAGGCTGTATACAAATTTTATAAGTAACTTTTAGAGTTGTCTAGATTTGAGTGGTATTGTTTAACCTTTATCTGGTCTTTCAGGCTCACAAATTCACTATCTATCTATCTATCTATTTATCTATCTATCTATCTATCTATCTATCTATCTATCTTTAGAAGGTTTCCGCTTGTAATGACACTATTCATTTAACTATTTCTATTCACCGCAAACTCAAATTTTCTAATCCCTATGTTTTTTTGCAACATGATGGTGTAAAAATTTTTTATTTCAAACTTAAATCATTTGATAAAACAGAATTAATAGTTTAAAATATCTAAGGTCTACATTAGCAAAGATAAAGGGATATGAAAATCAGAGTTTGAAACAAAGACAAGACTCAATTACTTTATATAGTTGCAGATCATTATAAATTATAATTTCTCAGCATTAGACAACTTTAAGCATATTTTTGTTCTGTATTTCCCCTTTATTCTTTTTCTTCTTTCTTTTAATTGTTTTTCGTATTTTTCGTATTTTTAGTTCATCTATATTCCTATTTCTTTTCGTTCTTCTCACCCTTTTTAGTCTTTTTATATTAGTCTTTTTATATTAGTCTTTTTATATTAGTCTTTATATATTAGTCTTTTTATATTAGTCTTTTTATATTAGTCTTTTTATATTAGTCTTTTTATATTAGTCTTTTTATATTAGTCTTTTT